AATATAATTTATAAGTTTGACTATATTATACACTCAAATATGTTGGAAACAATACTAAATAAGAGAGAACTTCCATTTACTACATGAGATACATTTTTTAAAATCATGGAATCAATGTTGAAGACAATTCTGCAGTATAGGGTGTGAGTATGGGCGTTGTTGTTCTTCTATTTATGATCCACACCCACTATATCATGTTTAATGGTCATTAAATGCTAGTTGAGATGGATAATTTCATTCGATGTTATATCAAAGAAGTCGATACATTAGTTTGTATTTTTCTTAGTATCACTTTATGTAAAACACAAAAATATTTACTTTCACTATTATGGAAACTAAAACAAATTTCATTTTTTTATACGTATATGAGTACCAATCAGATATAAGCTAGTTTATTATTGCCGTTTAAATGATTAATTTAGTTTAAAAAAGAAAATATTTAATTATACCGTTCGTTCTTATCTTCATTTTCAATTAAAATTTTAGCTGGAGAGTCAAAGCATCAAGTATGATATATTCGCAATATTAACAAATACCTACATCACTGCTAACATTCGAATGAACATGGACATATTCAGTAGTAAACGCTCTTTCGGATGTATCATTATGTCCTAACATCCTAAAGAACATTTTTCATCAGTATGATTTAAATTATTTATCATTTATTCTTCATTGTCTTTCACCTTATGTAATGAATCAACCTACTTCTACTTGGTCTTGTTTACAACTGTCTATAAAGTAATTCATTTACGCATTTTTTGTCATAAACATAGCATTCATTTTTTCGCGTATCATGGTGTTATGTCATCGAATTTTGTTTTTAAATTTTATTCAATCATATATTTTTTTCTCTTTCTATCAACAATCTCTTGTTTTATTTTATTTCTTTAGTTTTGTATTTTTATATTTTTTCGAATGTGTGTGGACTCAAATATCTGTCGATGAGGAAGTTTGTTACAGGCATATATATCTTCTATGTCTTCAAATATTACGTTCTTATCAGCATCTTTTTTGTTCTTTTTTTGTCTTTAATTAGTATTCTTCCTTGAAGCATTCGTGGAGAAAACGAATGTAAAGAAGAAATAAAAAAGAAAGACATTTTAATGAATACTAACAAAATGAATAGAAATAATCGAGAAAAAAATATTTTACATATTCAAAACGATAATAAGATTTAAATAAGTGTAGATCTGATCAACTCTAGCATTACACTCTTGTCGACATTATATGTTTTTGTAATTATGAAAAAATTCTATATATACCCCTGGAAAGTAAAAGCTGAACATGGTATTTCGAATCTATTGACGTTCGAGAAGGACATTTTCGAAAACTTAATTATACCATTTGATAGCCTTTGGAATTCTCTATCACTCTGTCTATTTTTGTCTTCGTTTACAGTTAAACATTACCAAAATAAATTGAGTAAAATGAAGGTACCCTTATGTCCAGATTCCCACAGATTGGATTTTGTCTCCTCAACTAGTTCTCCAGCTATAGAAATACATTTCCAAAAAAGTAATTATATATTCTGATAGAGCTTAAAATTCTCTATCAGCCCATATATTTATCTATTGCCTTAAATTTGTTTGCTGAAAAATAATTTGAATACAATGAACGCCTCCTCAATTGACAAGTATACAAAATCCGCATTTTTTCGTTGTTTTTTTAGTTTCTTTCGCAAATTATTTTCGTATAGGAATAACTTTTTCCAAAAACAAAATTTACATTCTGATAGAGCTTGAAATTCTCTATCATCCTATATATTAATATATTGCCTTGAATTCAACTAGCGAGAAAAACTGCAGATTTTTCATACTTGTCGATTGAGAAACCGTTCATTCTATTCAAATTATTTTTCAATAAACAAATATAAGGCAATAGATAAATATATGGGCTGATAGAGACTTTCAAGCTCTATCAGAATATATAATTACTTTTAAAAAAGATAACACCATAGTGATAAAAAAATGTGAAAGACTAATTTTGATGGCAGAGAAAAAATCCAGTCTGTGAGAATCTGGACATAATGGTACCTTCATTGCACTCAATTTATTTTGGTAATGTTTAACTGTAAACGAAGACAAAAATAGACAGGATGATAGAGAATTTCAAGGGCTATCAAATGGTATAATTAAGTTTTCGAAAATGTCCTTCTCGAGTGTTAGCTCTCGTTTTGGGGATTATGTAGCAATGGTAGAACTAATATTTAGTCTGCCAAAAATGGAGAGCTAAACATGTTTTAATAATCGACTTTGTCGTCGTGTCATATATAGAATATATTGAGTATCGAGTGATCGATACGATAGAACATCAACAACTGCGCAATAACGAAAGACAAAAAGATAATCACGAGATGAATCATAGTTGAGAGATTACGTAACAAATCAAATTAGAGATTCAAAAAATAGATAACATAAGATAAACGTTTAGCGTCAGTAAGCACCATCTACTGACGCTAACATCGAGCGTCAATAGATTCGAAATACGATGTCCAGCTTTTACTTTCCAGGGGTATAGATTATCGTTTTAGTTTCAAAAAAAAACATGTTTCATACAATTCAACAACAATTAAAAATATTTCTTTTAATCACATGTTACGATTTCAATTTCATAAGTGAGTTAGTAAATTTCTTTCAAAAATGAAAATATAATGAATATTAGTTAGAGGTCCGGATCATTTTCATTTATTAGAATATCTATTGGCTAATAACCGATATAATTGAATTGTACGACCTGTTCAAAATGACTCTGACACATTATCTGTTACTATAAATTTGGCTTTGCAAAACATTATTGATTATGTAATCGTGATTAAATGTATGTTTTTTTTTCAGCTTTGAAATATAAATAGGATGAAAGACATGAAGCTATTGTCATTAGTGGCTGGATGACTATCGTATGTATACTTAGTGTTTACTAGGAATGCAATAGTGACGATGAGTCAACGATTCAAACTGAGAATTGTTTCACCGGTAAAGCCCATTGGCTTCAAGATCTCTTAAATAAATTTTTCTACTTTGATTATGATTGTCGCTGCGAAGATACAATATACTTTGAAATTGTTTTTTCGTGTTTGAGCAGTAGCATACTTAAGAGTCTAAATTCATATTTAGTTTGAAGTTATTTTATGTGTAAATTAAATTATCGGTAATTTATTTTTCATAATTTATATTAATTTTTAAGTATTAATTTCTAATAACTTCTATCTATTCTATAAGCATAGTCTTTAGACAAACGAATATCGATTCCATAATAATTAAATTACAATTGGTATTCACTCCTATAAAATATTTCTTGATAGAAGAATAAATGTATATATTATAAAGACTTAACATTATTTCCTTTATTTAACAATTAATCTAATATCAATAATACTTTGCTTTTTATTGAATCACCAGCACATAAAAAATAATAGAATATTACGAATTTTTTCTGAAAAAGAAAAGAAGAAACTTTCCGATATAATAAAATTTCATGACAACTAAATCACATTTTCAAAAGCCAATTTATCTCATATTTTGTTTTTTATAAATAAAGGTTTTTTCAATAAAACGAACAAAAATTTCAAGATATTCATAAAATATCATTATGTTTATCAAAAGAGCGATAAACTAAGATTTTCAAAGCTCCATCCGATGAACTCTAGTAACTGATTTGTATTGGTAGTAGGGTAATACAAGTTTCTAGTGACATATATCGATTTTTCGAAAGAAAGTCATTTTTTTTAAAGTTTGACAGAAGATGATCAGAATCGAAGAATCTGAATCTGCAATCAGTTTTCAGAATTCTGAGTTTGATATTTCTTCACAAAATCTCTTTTATGAAAAATTGTATTTCTATTAAAAAAAAATGAAATACCGAACTTCAAGAAGTCAATAATAGATTCAGATTTCTTCACTACAATTATCCTTGAGCCAACGTGATAAAAATGGTCTTTTCAGACCAAAAAGCTCGAACTCAAAATCTGAAAAAAAAACAACTATACTCTAAACCCACAATGAGTCAGTATAAACCAAAATTATCCCTAAAACCGGTTACTAATGAAGCTAGTCTCAATAAAGAGTAATTATTAGTAAGAACTGATTATTGTCACTATTGTATTCCTATTTATAATATTTAATCTTATTGTTTAAATTTATCTGTATAGATGTGTAATGATAATAATTTAAAATGGAAACCAGAAGAGTTTGGTAATATTCAAACACTACGAATACTAAGTAAACAAATATAGACACCAGATATTCTCTTATACAATAGGTAGTTTTTTTTCTAAGAATAGATATCTTTAAAAAAAGATACTTTGGTTTCTTTTTAAAATGTCGATGAAAATTTTGATATTACAATCAAAGTTAATGCTTTTGTGCAACATAATGGTGATATACAATATGTTCCACCAGTATTATTCAAATCAATTTGTTCATTTAATATGGCTGCATTTCCATTTGTAAGTCTAAAGAACAAAATATATCACTTATATCATAACTTTAGTCTTCTTATTTTTGGATACACAATATTGTACACTGAAATTTGGATCTTGGACATATGATGAAACAAGTATATGATTGAATCATAGGTTTGTTTTTTTTTCTAAGATGAGATGTCAAATCTTTTGCATGCTTATTACTTACAATGGAGGTGTTTCAAGTGATAAGCGGAAAATCAGGATTTATTAGTATCAAATGAAAGCTCTCAGTACCAAACTATCAGGGTTAAAATATTAGCGATCCTTGGTTTGTCGTCTAGAGAAAAATATTTAGAATTTAAGTTTACGTATAAAAATGAATTAGGAAAGATTTTCTCCACTATTATAAAGACAGAACATAGTATTGTTTGGGCCATATGAAAGAGAGATCCTCCAAACCCCATAATCGACCCGAACAACAATGTGTTTTGTCCTTATAATAGTGGAGAAAATCTTTCCTAATTCATTTTTACACCTAAACTTAAATTCTAAATATTTTCCTCTAGGCGACAAGCCAAGGGTCGCTAATATTTTAACCCTGATAGTTTGGTACTGAGAGCATTGATTTGATATTAATAAATCCTGATTTTTCGTTTATCACTTGAAACACCTCCATTGTTAGGAATCAATCTGACAGAAGAAAGTAGCAAAGGTCAATTAGATGCATATATGTTATAAATAATGAATGGGATCTAGAAGGTAATCGAGAAAATTTGATAGTATTTTATTCTATTTATTCTGTTTTAGATTTCTCAGCAACAAATAATGATATCACATACGAATGTTGTCCGACTATATATCCATAAGTATTATACACTATTCGAATGCATCGACGTTCTCTTTACTACATTATAAATATCATTCGTAATAAAATATAAATTTGCAACATTTGTTTTTTTTCTAATTTTTTAGTTTTCGTTTCATAGTACCTTGTTTTATTATTAGTTGTATGATAATATTTGGATTTTTATTATCACCAGAAAATGTGAAAAATTAACTTTGCGTGAATTAGAATTTGTTGATAAAAATATTTATTCTTATACGTGGTAAAACTTTAGATATAACAACTCTTTTAACTGTTGTTATGCTCAGTTTACTTTTTGCAGAAATTCTTCTACCAAGTTCAAATGCTATATCAATTATTATTGCTTATTTCATGTGTGTTATGATTATATCAGCAGTTTCAGTTGTTACAATAATATTAATATTATCACTTCATTTTCGAAACTCTAAAAATGATACAATGTCATTATGAGTAAATTATATTTCAAAAATAAATAAATCATTTCAGGTTCGTAAATATATTTGTAATTATTTAGCATACTTATTACTTATGAAACGTTCCGGTCATGATTTGAGTTGGCGTGGAATTCGTTGTCAATGGACTTCTTCGAAACAAGAATCGAATAATGTAAATAAATCGATCGATAATCATCATTTGAAGATTTTTCTACAACTATCATCGAATAATATATTTGAATTGTTGGACAAGAAACCTTCAGAATTCTTGGAAAATCAAAATATATCAAAAGAATTGTGTACATGTGATGTGAATATTATTCGTTCTGAGTTACGTGTTATTATTCTTGTTAATTATTTTCGAGAAAAAGAAGAAGAAGATGATGATAAATCTCAAGATTGGCAATTTGTAGAAATGCTCATCGATTGTCTTTGTCTAATGATTTTTGCTACAATCATCATTTTTTTATACTCTACTTACTTTTCTTAACATTTAACTATTTTTTTTTCAAACTTCAATTTATTTCGTTTCTTATTTAGTAGTGAAGCAATTTTTATCTTATAATCTTTTTCTTTTGAATACAGATGTTTTTATACACTCTATAGATAACATACTAGCAATTGTATACAAATTCTGCGAATTTTGTCAAGTAGATATGCACTAGCTCTGACATTCTTATTAACAATTATTGTCGACATCAAAACATAATGAATCTCGAGATTTTTTAAATATCTCGTGAACAAAAGTAGCTAGAAATTTAAGGCTTTTACCATTTGAAAGACAAAGTAATCGATCAATCGTGTCAACACTCATCAATCATCTTGAAGAGTATCTAGGGAAATTATTTCTCCTTGGATTTTAGATTTCAATATGATCATTCGATGGAAAAAATTGTTCACTTTCGATCTAGACAATGGTTGACCTCACTAGTTTACTTTTCATAAGATCTATAAGCATTTTCCTGAAATATTCAAAATCGATCAGATAACCTTCAATGATCATGGTGAGTTTAGTGTTGATGTTTGTTTTTTTGTTTCAAAGCAATTTGAAGTCAGTATATAAAAAATTTTTTATTTATCAGTATTCTCACGCATATATCAAGATAAGTGATACTATCGGAAATTTTGATATACTGACGTGAAATTGCTTTGAAACTAAAAACAAATTTCACCACTAAACTCACCATGATCATTGATAGTTATCTGGTCGATGTTGAGGATTTCAGGAAAATGGGGTGTGGGTGTGGGTGTGGGTGTGGGTGTGGGGTGTGGGTGTGGGGGGTGTGGGTGGGTGTGGGTGTGGGTG